TAACATCGACTATCAAAACCTAAATCCACAAAACTCAATAATCTTTCAAAGCAAAATTTATAAGCTTTCATCAAATCACAAATTCAAACTTAACGACATATACAAATCAAACCCAACCTATAAGCACCCATCAAATCAATAATCAAAATTGAAATTCATAAAAAAAAAAAAAAACTTAGCAAGCTTCAGCCAATACCAAAACCTATCAAATCCTTTGAATCATCAATGACCAATGCATGCATTGATAAAAACTCAAACATTAACTAACAATAGCTATTTCTGGGGTGGCCCCATTATGTTTTTCTCATGTTTATTTGACAGTTGCAACCTTCTAAGGCTTGGGATGATATGACACCTTCAAAGAAAAGGTTTTGCACTACAGCAAATTTAACATTGACTAAAATTCTAGCAGTGAAATCTCCTCCTCCAAACTCTTGGCCCTCATAAAAATCTCCGTGTTCTTTTTCTTTGTTGTTTGACAATTTGCTACCTCTAATAAAAAGGGGCAGTTGTCAGCACCCAATTTTTGCTCATCCCCATACCCTACCTCTTTATACCCTCCTCTTAGACCCCAACTAGGAAATACAAGCAGGTTAACTTGACACTTTCCAAAACCCGAAATACCCTCCTTTGACACAATCTGTGGGACGAATAAGAACCTTGAGATCAAGATCGTCGTCCAATTAGACATCATCCTCAGATTTGGAAAACTACAACTTAGTACACATAAGTTTTTATGACTAAACTGCAAAGATTCACCATTCGTCATGCCAACTTTCGTTATAACGACCTCGATCTATGCGATATCGAAACTCCAACTCATCAAAATCAAATCCAACACACCCATCACCTCAAGATCACTATGAACCAACTAGCGAATTCCACCATAAATCTACGATGATCAACCGTAAAAAACACCAACATCTCATTTTGATGGCCTTGAACGATTGGCAATATCAACAATATCTTTCTCAGATTAGAACTATCCGCTTGATGCCTCACATTAATCCGTGCCTACCCACCAAATTATAATTCAAAATTCCCCCGTTTGACTCACTATCATGCTAAATCCTATTTCAGCAATTCTCAGCATACCATTCGTCATCCCAACTTCATATGACCAATCAGACCTTACCACCATGCTCATAAACCTAATAAACCCCAAAACGTCAAATTGCACAACCAAAATCCTCCATTTAACCATTGAAAAGTTAAGATTCCATTTTGGGCCCTCTCGTTGATTGAAAAATCATAAACTAAGACTATGATCTGAACTACATCAGTCAATYTACATCTCCAATCAAAGATCCATCACTTCCATCAGATTTGAGACGATAAAAAATGCCTACCCACCAAATTTCATCCCAAAATTCCTCCATTTGACCCTTCATCAAACAAAGATTTTATTTCAGCCATTCTCGTTGATCTGAACTTGTCAACCATAGATCTCAATCATCCCAACCTTATTTGACCTATCATACATCACCACTATGTTTAAAGACCCAAAAAACCTTATCACATCAAATTTCACATCCTAATTTATCTGTTTGATCGTTAAACTAGAAAGATACCATTTTGACGCATCAGATTGAATTGCCACGTCATTCATCCCAACCTGAAGCCTTAAAAGAGTTATTGGCTAATGTCAAACCCATTCTTGACTCATTAGAACACTTTGACTAATGAAACAAAGCTTAATAGACCCAGAAAGCACAAAAACCCCAATGTATCCCTACTTAAAACCAATAAAAGACAAAATAACATATAAAAGTTCATCAAATTTACACTGACAGCCCCAAATACGAGACTACAATGACAGACACACCCCAATCTGCCATTGGATGCACAAAACTCATGAAAACCACCCCAAATCAAAGAAAATGTTTTGCCAAATTGGAAAACTTGATTGAACATCTATTTCTTTGAGGAATCTTTGCCTATTTGTGTAAAAAACCTATGTTGAATCCCAGGCACTATAGCTGAATGAATTTAGACCTGACCCCCCTTTCTCTATAAATACCGATCTATTTCGAGCTCAAAGGGGGGAGGGAGAAGAGGAAGGAAACATGAGGGAAGCCCCTAGAGAGCGAGAGAGGAAAAGAGAAAAGGGGATAAAACCAAAAAGAGAGATCTAAAGAGAGGAAGAGGAAAAAAGAACATTTTCCCAACCTCTATAATCCCAATTGAATATGAAACTTCAAATCCGCCCATCTATTTTTAGCTACAAGATTTGAAACTAAAATGGGCACCATTCATTCCAGTATCTCATTCAAGCTTTTTTGAATTTGTTCTCGTTGTTGGAAAACTCCCGTCAAGTTATATATGAAAGGTAAGTCTTTCATTTTAACTTTTAAACTTGATTTCATAATCTCTATTTTTTATTGTAGTTTTTTTTGGGGGTTACTTGAGGTTCTGAAATGTTGGAGAACCATCACTTGCAATTTTTTCTTGATTAAGAATATAGGCAAAGAGGCGAGGATCTTTAGGAAATTAATACCTAAGACCTGATAACATCACCTTAAAATCGGTATTATGAGAAGTTGAAAGCATGTTCTCCAGATTTAAGAAATTCCTACAACCAATTCTATTTTTCTCCAAAAGAAATTGAGCTTGAATAACTCTCGTAGTGGGTTGGTATAGTAGTTTGGAGAGAGGGATGCCTAATACATTCCCTCTCGCAGTCCTTGGTACTTGAAATCTCTCAATTGTATGCCTTTTCCATGGAGATCGAAGTCCCTATCAAAGACTTACATCGAATTTTTCAAATCTTAAAATGATGGCCCATTTCCTCTAAAAAATGGGTGGCAACTCATCTTTTTTAGCCGGCTATGAGCTCCTTAGAGCTCACAATACTATAATAAACTAATACACAATATTCTTACTTGTAGCCTAAATGTAACAATCAATTTATCACAAATTTACAAGGTCTAAAAGGAAAGATATACTCCTTTATCATTCGGGTGGACAATAGAAACAATGCAAGACACACTTCTAGAAAAGTCATAGCAACAAACATGTTCAAATTGGACGACTCATAAGCTACATGGATAGAAGACGCCGAAGAGAAAGACATAAATATGAAAGAAAAAATCAATATCGAACAAGACTGACAATCATCCAAAAGTTCAAACATTGAAGAAAACTTTCCATTATTGCAAAAACAACTACTCTAATAGGAATTGAATTAGATTTGGTAACTCAAGTTTTAAGTGTTTTGTTTGAGATACTATACCTGATTGATCATAATGTGCTTGGTGGAATTTCACTGATTTTGCGTTGTGTTGGTTATTGATTAGTCACAGTTTTTAGTTTCTCTTGTTTCCTTCTCTCTGGTGTTGGTTTATACTTCTCTCATTCCATTTTTTCCTCATTTTGGAGGCCAGTTTTAGTAGTAATCTGAAGGCTTCTATATCTTTCTCAAGGAAGGCATTCTTGTGAAGGCTCATTTACCTTAGCATCCAATTGAGAGGTGTCTTGCAATTGATTTTGTTTTTTTTTGGGGGGGTGAGAGATTGTTTAGGCGAGGCTTTGGACTGTGTGGTCCAATATGGAAATGGAGATTGAGGTGCTACTCCAATTGTAGGTTTTGTTGCAAAGGGATTACCTTGTTACAACCAACCAACCTTGTGGGGTTGGTTGCGTTGCCGTAAGGGCATGCCCTTGCTGCCCCAACACTTTCATTATTAGGATGAGGCGGTTGACATTCCTCTGTTCACTTAGTCCTGTAGTTGAGCCTCAGGGGGGGGGGGAGTTGCATTAGAATGGGATCCCCGAGATGGGGAGTGAGCGCCAGAGCATTTGAAGGTGTCTTTGGGATTAATGATCATTTTTGGTGCATGAGGTGGAGAATATTAGAAATAGACTTTTTGTGTTGATCCCCACAAACGACACCAATTTGATGTTGTACATTCGGAGGTGTGCCAAACAAAATACGCATCGGATAAGATTGTGCCAACTGAAAGAGGCCGATGTGGAAGGATGAAGTTGTACACCAAGGAGATTTACAACCATAGAAGAAATTAGAGGCACGAGGAGAGGATCCCCGAGAAGACTCTCTGACGCTTAAGTTAGTAGCAAGAGGATGAAGTCGATCGAGCCAAGCTTTAGAGGGAAAGCTGGTTCGAGCCAAAGAGAATAGTAAGGTAGCAAGGGAGCTAGATTGTTAGGGAAGCTGAAGAATATCCTTTACCTTAAGGAGGAGATGCCTTTAAATAGGTGAAGGTTCGTGTTGTGGCCAAACAAGCTTTGCAGTGTTATTAGGATGAGGTCGCCCATCAAGATTTTTGGGAGGCTCTGCTCTTCTCGACGGGGGCACGTCTCTTTGTTTGTGTGGGACTTTGCTTCCTCGTGAGGTTTATAATGATGCAACTGTGTAGGCATGTGCTAATGTAATAAGAGGACGTCGGCATGGAACTAACCACGTGGCAACTTCAACTCGAACACTGGTCTTCAGAGTCAAGTATAAGTCCCTATATAACAATGCTAAGGAAGCACACTTCATGTTATAAGCAATCCATTRTATAAGGGATTAAAAGGATATTTTGTGGTAATATTGTGGTCGGGTTTCGTTTTGTAAAATTTGAAAAACAACAAAGGGGAAATTAACTATAAAAAGGTAATTTTAGAATTAAGAAAGCTTATTTAAATCACATGATATCATGTATGCCAACAAATTGTGCTGTCGCGCGCTAACCGTAGGGGTGAATTGTATCCATTGTAGGGGAAGTATTTGAAGTAATTATTCAAAGTTTAAACTATATGGGTATTTTTAAGTAATTGTCCATTTGCTTAAACTATATGGGTATTTTTAAGTATTTACCCTGTACAGAAAACCTATTACCCGGGAAAGTGGCCTCCTAAAAACGAACGGGGCCTACGAAAAATGTGAAAAACTGAAAACAAGGAAAAGGGTTCGACTATGATATGGTTTTCCCGAAAACAAGAAGGCGGTGACAACTGGGCCAAAAGAATACCTGATCACAACCCTTATGACATAATAATTTGGAGAGAGGATAAACGGCCACACAAGCAAGTTTTGCCACCACTAGCAGCAGTGGCTGGTTTCCGAGAACTTCTCTATCTTCCTCTGCCCCTTGCCCTTGCCTCCTCTTTTCCTTTTCTATCCATATTTGACCAAGGTTCTAAGATATACCGTGTTTAATCCAATTGCAGAAAACCCATTTGCAAAATATCCGGGGTAACTGTCTTATCTCAAGTAACCGTTCGCTTGTTTGCTCTGCATCTCATCTTTTCTGTTCTTGGAGTTCCACTTGCTGTTTCTCTTATAGAACCGAAACCTAGGGTTTCTGCGTGCTCCGAGGAACATCTGTTGGAAGATTTGACTGTAAGCGAAGTTCAGTTCTATTGGCTATAGAGTTTATCGAATCTCGATTATGTTTCGGAAATTCTGGTTTTTTTCGAGATTGGGTTATGGACTAGTTCTGTTCAGTAGGGTATATGTAGGAAGCTGCATTATTATCTAGTTTAGTGCGTATTGCTTTTAGTGGGTTCATGTTGATTCTGGGCCCTCTGTAAGAACCATGTCTTCTCTAGGTTCCCTTGTAAGTTTGGGAGGTGTGAGAACGAGTTCTTTGGCTAGTTACTTTGATGGTAGTCCTTCATTACCTCGGAGGATTTCGATAGTTAAGGGAAGTAGTTTAGGTAACTCGGCTGGTGGGCACAGATGGAACAATGTCTATGTCTGTAAATGTATGGTCACAACAGATTTGGTGGCAGAGCAGGGAAATTCGATTTCCTTGGATTCCACCTTTAGAGGGAGCAAAGATGAGGATGCCGATGTTGTCCTTAAGCCTGCTCCCAAGCCTGTTTTACTGTCAAGGCCCAAAGCGGAATCACTTCTAAGTATTAATGCACGGAATTCAGTACCCTGGTCCCCAGCGAGACCTGGTACAGTTTCCAATGATGAGAAATTGGAGGATATAGAGGAGAGAAATAAAGTAATAGAGTCACTTGGGGAAGTGTTGGTGAAAGCAGAGAGGCTGGAAACAAACATTTCTGAAAAACTGGATCATGCTACAGAGAGTTGGATTGATAGTAAACCAGCACCCAGCAACCCAAGGAGGAATAGGCCAGTGAACTCAACAGGGGTTCGGAAGACTAAGACTTTAAAGAGTGTTTGGCGGAAAGGAAATCCAGTGGCAAGTGTGCAGAAGGTTGTTAAGGAGCCTCTTAAACCTAGTAAGCTTGATAAAAAGGATATAGCTCCAGAAGACACAGAGAAGGGGGAACGTCAATCCCGTGCCCCATTAAGACCCCCTCAACCACCTCAGCAAGTACAACCAAAGTTGCAGGCAAAACCTGCTATCGCTCCTTCTGTGATCAAGAAACCTGTTGTCTTGAAGGATGTGGGGGCAGCTCAAAAGCCAATGGTTACTGATGATACTGCCGCTGGTCCAAAACCTAAAGAACAAAAGCCAATCTTGATTGACAAATTTGCACCAAAGAAACCTGTGATTGATCCTGTTATTGCTCAAGCAGTTTTAGCCCCTACAAAACCAGCAAAAGGCCTGGCTTCGGGGAAGATTAAAGATGAGTATCGCAAGAAAACTAGTGCAGCTGGAGGAGCACGGAGACGTTTGTTTGATCAAACTGAGATTCCAGATGAGGAGACTTCAGAGCTCAATGTCTCTATTCCTGGTGCAGCAACTGTGAGGAAGGGGAGGAAATGGAGCAAAGCAAGTCGTAAAGCAGCTAGGCTCCAGGCAGCAAAGGATGCGGCCCCTGTAAGAGTAGAAATTCTAGAGGTTGGGGAGGAAGGTATGGTGACAGAAGAGTTGGCTTACAACTTGGCAATCAGTGAAGGTGAAATACTTGGATATCTTTACTCGAAAGGGATTAAGCCTGATGGGGTGCAGACTCTGGGCAAAGATATGGTGAAATTGATTTGTAAGGAGTACAATGTGGAAGTCATAGATGCTGCACCTGTTAAGCTGGAAGGAAAGGCAAGAAAGAGGGAGATTTTAGATGAAGAAGATCTTGACAAACTGGAAGAAAGGCCTCCTGTTATTACTATAATGGGTCATGTTGATCATGGAAAGGTAAATAAGTGCATGTGTTTTTTCTTTTTGATCAGAGCTCATGTGTTTATATCAGTGCTTCTTGGTTTGAATGAAAATGTATTTCATTTACATCAGGATTTTGCTGATATGTTCTTTATGCTACTTACTTGCAGACAACCCTTTTGGATTATATTCGAAAGAGCAAGGTATCTTGTGAAGCTTAATCCTACCCATTTTCCTATTGAGTTTTGCATACAAATATATAATTTTATGATGTCTATGGCACTTTTCTTTTATATATATATTTTGATATTTTGTTGGAAAATGCAAAGCTTGGGCACTGTATATAGCAAATACAATCTAGGAAGGACAGACTGGACTAAAAATGCCCTGCTTATATGATTTCACCCATCCTATTACCAACATCTCTTTGGGCTGTTTGTTAATATGTGCCATGTCATTAATATTTCAAAAGAATGTGGATTGTTGATATGCTCAAATTGACTTATGGTCAACTAATCTCAATGGTGGTCCAGATGTTGCCTTATTTCAAACTTTATATTTACAACCCCACTCCTTTGATTATGTGCAAAAAATGATTTACGTGGACTCTGATTGGTAGGCTTTTGCAGGTAGTTGCAACTGAAGCAGGTGGAATAACACAAGGAATTGGGGCATATAGGGTGCTTGTTCCTGTTGATGGCAAGTCTCAACCATGCATTTTCCTGGATACACCTGGACATGAGGTAATCTGTTGCAGTCTCTTTTGCTTTAATTCTTTTTTTGTTGCAATGCTTCTCTTGTGTCCTTTCTTATATATTGTCCAATCTTGTAGGCGTTTGGTGCAATGAGAGCTCGTGGAGCAAGAGTGACAGACATTGCCATCATAGTGGTTGCTGCTGATGATGGAGTTCGCCCTCAAACAAATGAGGCCATAGCTCATGCTAAAGCAGCTGGGGTGCCAATTGTCATGGCTATAAATAAGGTGCATCCATTAAGTAGCGTGGTTATTGAATTCTTCCTTTTGGAGTTGCTGACTGCAATATCTTATATTTAGCTCTCCTTTATTTCCAGATGGATAAGGATGGGGCTAATCTGGAACGAGTCATGCAAGAACTTTCTTCAATTGGTCTAATGCCAGAAGATTGGGGTGGTGATACCCCAATGATTAAGGTATTTGTTCCCCTAAGAATGAGAATTGTGCATATATCTTTGTATATTCTTTTTAAACTTTTGTAGGGTGCTGATATGCATTTAATTTGTTCCATCAGATTAGTGCTCTGAAAGGGGAGAATGTGGATGAATTGTTGGAAACTGTCATGCTTGTTGCAGAGGTACTTGTGTGTTTTTGGTCAATTGGTCTTATTCAGATGGGCCTGCTAATGTGTTTGGCATTGGTTTTCTTGCAAAGTTGCAAATAAGTATTTCTTTCTGCTGCTTTAGTTGTTTCTGTAAGTGATTGTAAGTTCTAGCTGTCAAACAAACTTTTGATGGTTTGCCTACCATATATCTATCTTTTTGTTTTTCTTATTAAAAGTTTCTTGCTACTCATTTGTTTTATTAGTATTTTTTTCTACTCATTTTGTTGTATGGATTTCCTATTTTCTCTGGCTCCTCTATATTCTAACACTCGTCTGGTTTCCTTTTTTAAAGCTGCAAGAGTTAAAGGCCAATCCTCACAGAAATGCAAAGGGTACTGCCATTGAAGCAGGTCTTCATAAATCTAAAGGACCTGTTGCTACATTCATTGTGCAGAATGGCACCCTCAAAAGGGGAGATGTAGTAGTTTGTGGTGAGGCCTTTGGGAAGGTTGGTCAGTTGTATTATTGTAACGTTGATTACTTGTTTGGAGGCAATATCATTTCCATTCAAAAAAGGAAAATGAAAAAAAAGGGAAGGAAAAACGTAGTTTGTATTTCTCTCATCTTTAAACTGCAAAATTTGCATTGCTTTGATTGATTCTATTACTTGTTGTTGATGGGCTTGTGTCAGGTGCGCGCTTTATTTGATGACTATGGAAATCGTGTCGAAGAAGCTGGACCATCTACAGCTGTGCAGGTTTTATAGTACATTTCCTTTTTATATTATTGGAATCCGAATAAGTTAAATGTCTTCTTTGTGTATTAGCCTTTTTAGAATTCTTTAAGTCTTGGCTATCGTTAGTTTATGTTGAAAATTAGAACTTATGGCTACTCTTTTGGATATTGAGTTAGATTCCCAAAAATACTACTTCCAGTTGTAACATCATTGCTAAACAAGTTAAAATGCAAAGCTTTTACAAGTAAAATGTAAAATTGGTAAACCAAGTGAAGGATATAAAAGTTAAATTGCAAAGCTTTTAAGAATGAAATTAAAAAATTCAAGTGGCTGACTCATAGGAGATTGAAGGTGATAAAAAAATGGTGATTGAAGGAGACTCGAAGGTTATTTTAAGTTGGCTGAAACAAAACAACAAGGCTCCTTGGTAATTCAGAAATGAGATAAAAAAATTCAAAAGGTTTTGAAAAAGACATGCTGGTGGTTTTGTCATGGGTTCCTAGATTAGCAAACACCTTAGCTGATTATTTAGCTAGGCAAGGGGTTAATAGAAGGATTTGCTTTTGGGCTCAACTGTAATTCTAAGGGTGGCTTTTGTTGTCATCTTAAGCTATTCTGGGGTAGCTGAGGCTACTCAATCTTGTAATATTTTCATATGTTTTGATAAAAGTTGTTCTTGTGTTGCTGATCAGAAAAAAAAAAAATCAAGTGGCCGACAAGGAGCTTGACTGTAAGAATACAAATATACAATGGGTTGGGAGATCATCAAATACTTTGGGTGATTGTCTTCGAAAGCAAGGGGCAAACAGGGAACAATTGTATTGGGCTTTCTTGGCAATAAATCCGATTGAAATATGAGGAAGGAGAGAAGGGAAGGGAAGAAGAAAGATAGGAAGACGAAAAGGTTTGGAGCAATGGAACAATGCTGGCGGCACCAATTTCTATTATATTATATAGGGTGACAGAAATAAGGAGGGAAAAGGCTCCTGTGCCCTTGCTGTAAGTGAAGTACAATAATAGAAAATAAAAAAGGCTTTAACTAGCCAAACAGACCCTAAGAAAATAACTAAATTATTTCAACACTCCCCTTCAAGTTGGAGCATACATGTCAATCATGCCCAACTTGTCACACAAATCATTGTGCCGCACATGATGAAGACCTTTGGTGAAGATATCTGCAAGTTGTTCTTCTGAGGTAACATATGGAGTACACACTTCTCCATTCACAAGTTTCTCACTAATAAAATACTTGTCCATTTCAATGTGTTTCGTCCTATCATGTAGGACTGGATTAGCAGCAATATTGATGGTAGCTTTATTGTCACAGTAGAGTGACATAGGGTTGCTCACTGCAAAACCCGGTTCACCTAACAGATTTCTTATCCACATGATTTCAGCAACCCCATGAGACATCGCTCTATATTCTGTTTCAGCAATAGATATAGTCAGCACACTTTGTTTTTTACTTCTCCACGTGACTAGGTTTTCTCCTACAAAGGTATAATACCCACTGGTAGACTTTCGGTCATCAACTGCCCCTGCCCAATCAGCATCAGTATACACTTCCACCTTTAAGTGTCCATGCTTTTGGAACAACAAATCAGCTCCGGGAAACTTCTTGAGGTATCTAAGGATCCTCTCTGTAGCCTCAAAGTGAGTTGTCCTAGGATTGTGCGTGAACTGACTAAGGACACCCACTGCATAAGCAATATCAGGCCTGGCCATAGACAAATACAAGAGTCTCCGTACAAGTCTCTGGAATTTCTTCACATCTTTCAAAAACTCTCCCTAACTGTCTCCTGGCGGATGATTAAATTCAATTGGTGTGTCAATTGGTTTTACCCCCAACTTGCCTGTATCTTCTAGTAGATCTAGTACATATTTCCACTGGGAAATAAAGATGCCCTTGTGAGAAGGGGCAACTTCAATTCCAAGGAAATAACGTAAGGGGTTTAGATCTTTCACCTTAAAATGAGTGGCTAAGAATTTTTTTAGTCTCTGTATTTTAGCCTCCCAATCTCCTGTGATCACTATGTCATCCACATACACAATTGGAACTGCAATTTTCCTTTCACCTTTTTTCACAAATAGAGTGTGATATGACTGGCATTATTTGAACCTCATCTGTTGAACTACTAAGTGGAACTTACTAAACCAAGCTCGAGGTGATTGTTTCAACCCATATAAAGTTTTTTTTTAACCTGCACACTTTTTGTTCACTGCCTTTGGCACAAAAACCTGGAGGTTGGGTCATGTACACTTCCTCTTCCAAGTCACCATTTAAGAAAGCATTTTTTGATGTCCAATTGGTGAAGTTCCCAGTCAATATTTGCTGCCAATGAAAGAAGAATCCTGATAGAGTTCATCTTGGCTACTGGAGCCAAAGTCTCTGCATGGTCCACTCCATATACCTGTGTAAAACCTCTTGCTACCAGTCTAGCCTTGTATCTTTCAACAGTTCCATCAGCCTTGTGTTTCACTGTGAACACCCATTTGCAACCCACTGGTTTCTTCCCTTCAGGAAGATTCACCAACTCCCAAGTGCCATTTTTGTGTAATGCATCAATTTCTTCCTGCATTGCATCTATCCATTCAAGTTTGAATAAAGCTTCTGCCACATTCTTAGGAACAGGGACATTGTCCACATAAGAGAGGAATGCACGGAATGAAGGTGAAATGTGATCATAGGACACAAAATTAGAGATAGAATGATTAGTGGTACAAGATCTAACACCCTTTCTCTTAGCAATAGGAACATCAAGATCATTAATGACTGGGGAATCAATGTTGAGAGGAACAGGCATATCAATAGGATCTAGAGTACCTGGCTGATGAGAAGGATCTGGCTCTGGCGAATCCGATGATGTTGGTTGCATAGTGTCAGGTTCCACGGCTCTTGAACTCTACTGGCTTTTATGGTGGCGATGAAAGACACAGAATGGAGGAGGATCGGGTAAAGGAGGTAGTTGAGTTTTGTTTGCTGGAACACAATAGCCGAAGAAGAAGAAGAGAAGAAGAAGAGGAGAAAGTTTGAAAATGGTGGCTCTCTAACTTTCAGCCGACCCTACTATCTTATATATATGTTTATCACATAGTGTTACATGAATGGACTAGAATGCCCCTGATTAGTGATGGAACACCTAGACAAATAAAACATTAAACAAGTTTAGGCCCAATAACTAATGACTTAAGACCCAACAATGACTAACATATACATTAAATCAGCCGAACCAACAAGTTTGAGCCGCCTGTTTCTCCTCAACCCTACTCTCCCCCTGAGGAGAAACTGAGAAGAAAGGTTGATTCTTAAAGAAGGATACATCGATGGAGACATAGTACTTGCGAGAGGTAGGACCATAGCAACGATACCCCTTTAGAGATAAAGGGTAACCAAGGAAAACACAAGGAATAGCGCGAGGGTCAAGCTTACCTCGAGTAGGGGACAAGTTATGGACAAAGCAACGACACACAAAAACATGCATCGGAATGGTGGACAATAGAGCTGTAGGAAACAAAAGCTGATATGGGGCCTTATACTCTAGTAACCGAGATGGCATACGGTTGATGATGTATGTAGCACACAAAACTGCATCCATCCAAAAACGTTTTGGCACATTCATATGAATTAATAAGCCACGAGC